AAAAATCAAAATATGTCGACTCCCTGACGTGAAAATTAAATTCTACGTGTGAAAATACTTATGTATCGATATGCTGAACCGAATGCCCGCCTCTCCTCGTAATTTACAAACCGTTCCTATACTCGCATCTCAAAATTTTTCTCAGAGCTTTGTGTTATTATCAGCTTCCATTTAAACCCCGGTTTGATGGCCGAATCGGCTGCCCAAAAAGCAAGCCATTTTTGAAGGGCTCTATGAGAAATTCGTGATATTATCAGCTCTCAGGAAATCACCCCATGGGTAAAATTGCTGGTATAAATTTTCGAGAGCTTAAAATAATCGTATTCAAGGGTAAGTGGATTCCTGTATGAGCCACGTTTAGCTAATGGTCTAATGAGTCTTGAGGCTCATCACAGATTGCACTTACACAGATTGCACTGCACGGAAAAAACAAGACTAGTGTTGAGCACTACTGGCCGTTTAGTGGGGAGTAGTTGAGGGCCGGCGTCTAAGCTCTGTACAGCTCAACACCGGAAGGCAGTACAGGTGGGCACTGAACATGAGTAGTGCTAATCAGATGCCGCGAGACGTAGTTGCGCTTAACAGGTGTAAATTCACCCATGATATATCGGAGTCACGATAGCCTGGTGGTAACGCGCTGGTCTTCCACCGGCGCAACCCGAGTTCGATCCCAGGCGGAGGCGTTTCATATTTTACGCTCGCTCCAAAGTCACTTTAGGGCTTGACACTACTTCTTCCTTAGTGACCCAGCCTCGAGCTGTTTAGTGCCCAGCACTACTCTGACTTGCTGGCTCCATTTGATCTAACCCTCGTTAGTGCCCAGCACTAACATGTAGGTCCCAACCCTAAGCTCGTTTTTTCCGTGTGTATTTCTTAGTTTTAATAAGAAATAAAATATAATTCTGTAAAATTAGTAAATAAATACCAAGACAATTATTCAGGATGTCAAAGACTGACTGAAAACTTTTTATTAACCTCATATGATAAAAATATTATTATCAGCTGACACTGACATTGTTGTCAGATGAACAGCACTATCAGAGCACGGGTACCAACTTTTGAAAAGTATAACAGAGGTGTGGAGATCTGTCAAAGCAACGTTTTGAACAAAACGGAGGAGTTTAATTCTCATTCCGAGAGTGCCGACCTGCTCAGCCATCCTCGAATCAGTTCGCTTGATTCTGCTTATATATGCATATTTTAAATCAGCGCGTCGTACTCTTAGGCTTTTTTTAAGAAAATCAAGTAACGTAGACTCTTGGTATTCACTGCACATAAACTAGAGAGCCCCAGAATGAGAAACAACTTTAAATCATAATTATTGACGGATAAATAAACTTTTTACACGCTTTGGAAAATCTCAGAAGTTCGCGGTAGTCACTTTTCGGTAAGGAACTAAGGGACTCGGTTATTGTATCGAGCAGGGTTCGAAACGATCGCAAAGGCGGTATACTACGTATACGCGCCAAAACGTTTTTAAGGTATAACTTTTTTTTTCTGAAAACGCTTTCCTCCGGGGCCACGGCCCCCAAACAGGTTAGATTTTTACCAGGTTTTAATCTGGTAGATTTGTTACGCCCCGATGGCGGAAATATCCCTGGAGCACGAACAGAAATGGAAAGTTCATTATTCGATTTTTTTATTTTACCTCCATGAAGTTTCAACCTTTTACTACTTTTCCCCCATTTATTGCCACGGTTGTACCGACGGGAGAAAGAAAGGAGAATGAGGTCTGCTATCTGCATGACTGTCTCATTGAGACGCAATAATAAGTGTGATTTTGTTGTTGACACTTACTATATCCATACTCATTATTTAGGCGATGAATATATTTTGATTAATTATATCGTGACTTCTTCGTTTGCAAAACATTTTCTGTAAAGTAATACATTTTTATTCGCTCAAGCAGGATAAAATGGCCGTGTCATACATTTTAAGTTCAAGTTTTTAAACTAGCTGAAAAAAGACAAAGATTGATGGCACCAAACTTTGCACTTCGCGCGATGGTTTTTTCCCGTGAAAATTCACCGTCGCATTTTAATTTATTGCTATCGCGAAAGTAGCTAGTCCGGAACTTCGAGAGCGCTGGGCGAGAGGCAAATCAGCCAGGATATAGCGGCGATAACACGCAAAGGAAATATTTACCTAAGCACCTGAAGTTTCTGAACTTTTTTACATGCAAATTAACTACTCCTCCAGCATCATCAGCACCCTTTACATGATTTCAAAATAGCGTTGCCAGATTAGCGGAAAATACCGCTCATTAGATAAGCTTGCTAACTGTTAAATTTTGTTGCTCTTTTGGGGCAATGATGTATTCTAAGTGGAAAGCTCTTTCGCTTCATCTTGGAAAGTTGATGCAGCGTGCTGTAGTCTGCGCGTGAAAAAAAATTCCTTTCGACAGGAAACTGTTAAACGGTGTCCAGCAAGCAGCTTTGTAGTATTACGAAAAATTGTGAATACAAAATCTGCCATTTAAATTGTTTTAGTGTAGATGTATATGTACGTGCCAACGTGTTTCAGCCGTCACTTAAAAATTCTGCCAAGAAATTTATAGTCTGAGATGCTGAATGTCCCAAAAAAGAATGACTGAATACTAAACAAAACTTCCTTTGTCGTGATTGAGTATAGTTCATAATTTATAATTTCATGGTAAAATAAACTAAAGTCTCCACGATCAAAGTTGTTTACCAGCCAACTATTGATATCAATAAAAATTTATAGTTTTCATAGAAAAGGCCGCTCTGTTAAGGTTCTTTGTCCAAGCCTCTTTACCTTCCTTCGGAGGATTCGTAAAAATGAAAATAGTTAGTTAGTTATTTATTTCGAGACATTCAGCATCCTAGGCTATTAATGTCTTTACAACGATGTGTCAGCTGACAAATCGTATATGTACGTGCAAACCATTAGTCGATTCAAATTGAAACATGGTGTCTCTCTAAAGATGTGCATATATTCTAATTGAGCACTGTGGAAAAACGTAACTTAAAAACGAAGTTTTAATGTCAAAACAACACTTGTTTGGCTTGAATATTGAACCATCACTATTTCAAAGACATCAACATGCTAAACTGTTGATTTTTTTCTTAGATCATTTTCAGCTTCTCTATTTATCATCTGCATTACTTGTTTTCGTGCATTAGATAGTTAATTTTACCTACCCCGTTATTTGTCAAATTTTGGTTTCTTTCCTTTGGGAAAAGGTAGTATCTGCATAAATAATTAACGTAATAACTTCGTGTTTGAATACATCGTATTATCATAGCACCTCTGGGAAAAGTCTCAAGATCCACGATACTACGACAAACGCATCAGACACACTCGCAAAAACTCGAAGAAAACTTCACACTCGGTAAATCTGAACAAACTTCATGAAGTACGTAGTCCGCAGTAGACG